GGGGTGGGGGAGGCACTGCGGAGTGGTGGGGGGCGGCCCGAGGGGCTGGGAGAGGGTCTCGGATATTTTTATTAAAGTTCCACATAATCTGTATTAAGCTAATAGGGACTTAATATTTAATTCCAATTCAACAAACTTTCATTGAAAATCAGTTGTCAGATGTTTATGTCCTTTTAATAAGCACAAGCAGAAGGCAGTGGAGTGGCTAAGGAAGGTTCCCAAGTGAGAGCCCAGTCTAGGCAAGTTAAGGACTGGGGATGTGGCTTAGTGCAAAGATGCTACATTCAATTCTGAGTGTTTCAATTAATTAATTTAAAACTACAGGTATTTTTTGGCCTCTATTTCAATTTCTATACCATCTCACCTCAGCTATAAAGAGGGTTACTGAATTTTCTTTTAGCTAAGACACAGCCGTCTAATGTCTATGATTTCTTTACCCTGAAAGAAAATGGAACTTTCAGGGTACTTTATTTATTTTTTTAGATAAGTAGAAATTTATTACCACTAAGAAAATATTAGTACACATTCTGGAATCAGACTCAGAACTAATTTTATACTCAGATAATTATTCCTTATGAAACAGTATATAAATATGTGATTGATGATGTAATGATCAGAGTACTTTAGTAAGCACAATATGCTAGTGCCATTCAACTTCTTAACGTTCCAGGCCAGCAATACGTGTCTTGATGTGATTGGTGGTCGGGACACACCTGGTGCTAAGGTGGCCCTATGGACTGAACATGGACAGTTTAGGCAGAAGTGGAGACTGAATAAAAATGGAACTATCAGCTCTTATCTCAGTGATCAGCTTGTCCTTGATGTTAAAGGTGAGCTTCAATTTAATATGCAGTGTTTGTGTTCCTGGCATCAGTTTACGTTTCAGCCCTCTTTATGGTAAAGGACATCCTAATTTTTATAAGAGAAGTCAGTTTTAATTACTCTTGAAAAAAAAAGCTGAGATGTATATTTTTATAAACCAAACAAGTAGGTTATATGGATCAAGCAGAAGGAGTCCAAATATAAAATATGAAGTACTTTTTGTACATTAGTAAAGTTATATAATTTTCATTTGCAATTATAATTTTCATGAACTCTGAGAACAAGTCTTAATTAGAAGTATCATAATCATACAATGGAATGTTTCATAGAAAGAAGCATCTCATTTTTGCCTTGAATTGCCCATGGTCTTTAAAAGCCTTCAGTTAAAATTTTTGGAAAGTAGGGGCTGGTGAAATGGCTCAGTGGTCTAAAGCACTTAGAACAAGCTAAGCTAAGCTAAGCAAAGCATAGGGACCGTGGTTCAATCCCCCAGCACCACATGCCAGCCAGCCCTGCCCCCTGGTGGGCTGAACTGGCCACACACACAAAATAAATGAATAAATAAATAAATAAAATAAATAAGTTTCTAAAAAAAAATTTTTTTTTTTGGAAAGTATCAATTAACCTTGCTTTTTAATTTGGAGCCTTGACTGGCCATTATGCTTCAGGGCTCTTGCTTTAGTTGTGTTAGCCACAACACTGCTGATGTAAAAACAAGAACAGTACTGACATCCAGCCAGAGTCCGTTGTCGTGTCGTCCCCCCCCCCCGAACTAGGGATTAAACTCAGGCCCTTGCGCTTGCCAGGGAAGTGCTTATTCCACTGAGCCATCTCCCCGGTCCCCAGCCAGAGTTCTTTCTGGGCAGTTTGTTCTAAAGTGTGACACTGTTAGGACACAGTGCTTCTATAATCATGTACTATACCTTTTAGGTTTTCAGTCTGAGTCATAAGGTCCAACTGGAGGTGAATAATGTTTCAGACAACTCTGTAAATGACATATTAATCTATTTAAAAAGTGGGCTGAGCATTTTGTAAAATTGCTAAACACCTGTATGAACAAATGTTTTCTTTTGGAATTTCTACTTTAGGAGGAAATTATTATGACAAAACTCACGTCATTGTAAATCAGCCCATGGAAGGAGAAGAAACACAGAAATGGGACATTGAAATACTGTGAGAGAGTCAACATTCTTATAAGGATCAAAAGAATCTGAGCCTCCTTCCTTGTCTTATGCATTTGGAAAAGCAGCCACTGTGTCCTCACCTGCTGGAACTCTAAGCAGAATGAATTTTTTCCCCCATTCTCCAATACTGCTGGTCTTCAACCACTAAAAAGTTCAAAATGACTCTTGCCAATTAAGAGTTCCTATGAAGAAAATGTTATGATTTCAAAAAAACAAAAAGCTTTTATTCAGATGGATCCCAGTAATTGTGAGCAAGTTTCCTGAGTTTTGTATTTTCACTCCTATTCAGCAAACATGAATTCTGTATCTGATGACTCATTACAGGACACTGGTGACACTGTCAGCTGTATTAGATATTTTCATAGTGGTTAGTTACTGCTGTGGGTGCACAGGGAAACAAACTCCTACAGATCATTATTCTTTTGTATAGATGAATAATTTTAACATCTGAAAACATTTAATAAGCTTTACTGTTAAGCTGCTGTTGTATTAAGCCTTCAAGTTTCTATAATGAAGCTTTAAAAACTGAAGCACTCCATAAGTATTTAAACAGTACTTTTTACCTGACCCAAAGAGGGAGTATTCTTACTCAAAAAAAGAAAGATACAACCTTATAGTGCCAATCTCTAGAGTTACAATCTAATGTTAAAGATAGCTCTCTAGGCAGCAAGACCCTTAATAGCCATTCCTACCTTGGTGCTAAGACCTTGCTCTAGATTTTGCTTGATTTGCCCTTAAGGCAAAGTGTTTAGAAAGACCATGTTATATAAGGGTAGTCAAAAGTTTTTTGTCTGTCAGAAGTAAAAGGAAATTCTAAATGTTGACTTTACCATCTTACTCTTTAAGGTGCAATGATTTCACTACTTAATGACACAAAATTCAGTTTGCACTCTCATTTTAAACAAAATCTGGTAGGAAATCATCTTTGACTTAGTAATCTAAATGCCACCTTTAATAGCACAAGTCCCAAGTGTTTTTCCCTAGAGTTGTATTAGACTTACCTTGAGACAGTTGTTCCCTATTTTTGCCAGAAGGCAGAAAAATATTCTATTTTTATATAGAAAAATGAAATTATCTAGTGATATTTTTAAAAATATCAAACTTTATGCACTTTAGAATGTAAAATAACAGTGAATAGTTTAAACTCAATGAGCCCACTAGTTTGAGTATTTTTATAGGGCTTGATCTTCGCATGTAAATACTGGTAGTCTCCTTCCTCATCCTTTTGATCTCAGGCTTTCACCTATAAGTAGCATCTGAAACTCCTTTTACATCCACAGATGCTGAATACCTCTCTCAGGAGAGTATTTAATACTCTGGTGGTATTAAATCAAAGTTATGTTACATGGAAAACTATTTTATCGGGGGGCTTGCATATACAAAAAAAGTATGTATTTTTCACTGTGAAAAACCAATTTTAAAAAAATTGTTGAAGGGGCTGGGGAGATAGCTCAGTAGCATAAGCGCTTGCTTGGCAAGCACAAGGGCCTGAGTTCAATCCCCGGTTCTGCAAAAAAAAAAAAAAAAAAAAAAAAAAAAAAAAAATTGTTCAAAAATTTTCTAGAGCCAAAGAAGCTCTTTAAAAAGTTGTTACTCCAAAGAACAAGACAAAGCCAGGTTAATGACATTTAATTTTATGGGATACATTTATTCGAGTTGTACCTTTTCTACCACATTGAATTAAATAAACTTCAAAAAGGATGGTTTGGTCACATTTGGGGACATCTAGTACTTTACCGTTTTGTCTTCCATGTGCTCATTAACCTCACAACAACAGACATACTGTAAGATAAGGGATGGTGACATTCTCTTTTTGGGTTATGTGCATAGCCACATCTTTGTGAGTGGACTCAATACAACAGTAACCACCTAGAACTTACATCTTCCCTTAAAAAGAAAATGTGCTTAGAAAATAGCAACTAGTTGCCTGTGGAAAGGCATTAAATTACTTGGATTAAACACTCTGTCCAGAGGGATAATACCAAGCTCTCCTTCTCTTCATCTGTAGTTAGCTTCAGGTTCTTGACAGAAATAGCTGAACTGTTCCAAATCTGCTTCAAAGCATCCATATGTGATAAAGGAAACCGAAGTCCATGAGGCTGAAAGGGGTAAATTAGTCAAAAAATAAACTTGTGTCACTGAAGTAGCATTTTCATAACAACTCTCACAATTCTCAACATTGTTCTTAATGTCCAGCATAACTATTTTAGATAAATTATATGAACAGAGTTGCCAATGTCCACATGATGCTTGCAATTCATGAAAAGCATTCTGATTTAAGTAGTGATATTAGTCATTTGAAATTAATGTTCTAAAACCGGTCAGTGTGTATCACAGAATTGTCCCTTTTATAAGGATTCTTATCATGTGAAATACAACTCCATACTGCAGCCATAAAAAAGCATACTGCCTATAAATAAAGTTTTTCCCAGATACTACTCTAATCACAGGAAATACTTTTCAGTTGGAACAAACCTCTATATCCTCACTTCCCATCATGTGTATCTCTCGCCTATTTTTCAGAGAATGATAGATGTAAACCATCTTTTCTTGAGCTTCATCCTTTTAAGCGAAAAAAAAAAAAAAAAAGTTAACAAAATACTGTGGGCTTTAATACTAGGCAGTTTCCCCAACAGGTAAACAGCAAGAAAAAAATCTTACAGTCATGGTGCCCAAAAGGAAGTTAGTGAATGCTATAAAGAAGCCCCTGAGAAAAGCTCCATGGATGTACACATTGTAAATACTTCCTCAGTCAAGACTACTACTTGTATGTAGTACTTGAAGTGATTTTTTAAAAAGGCAGTATCTTGATTTATATACTAGCTTATCAACTGGTAAGGTTACAGTTGTTTCTATCTGTACTTTATCATCCAAAATTGGTAATTTATAAGAGTGATTAAGTGACAATACCAACTATGTAATATATAAAAATTTCAATTTTAGTAGAGGTCAAATGACTTCTCCCATCTTACCTAATCATTGGTCACTCTATGTCACCTCTTTGACAGTGGCCAAAAATCTTTGACCTGACAGTGTCTCACACTGACCAGAATAACTAGGATATGTTTTCTAAAGTATAAGTATGTACATTTGAGATGTCATATGTCAGACTTACCCAGGTCTCACTTTGATGGCTGGAGCTTTGATTAAGAAGACATGTAAATACCCCCTCCACTCAGTCTTTCACTGGGTACCTCCCAAGACAGGGAATTAGAAGGAAAAAAGTATGGGATAGTTGCCAAAATTCTTAGTTTTATAGGGAGCTTTAAAAAGCCATAAGCACAGACTAACCTAGCTCAGATGAAGTCAGTAATTCTCCAGCTGATTCCAGGATCAGTTACACAGGGAAGGGAATCACTAAGGTGGGGGTAAGGTTACAGAACATAAGATTCTTCTCTCCAGGATCTGCAGGATAGATTCTGGTAGAGGAGTGAGTGAAACCACACAAAATAGCGCTGTGGGAGATCAAAGAGGAACTGAGGCAGGGATTCTTTGAAACAGGCTTGCAGCTGTCTAAGCAAGGGCAGTATGGCCTACTGCACAATGAGAAGCCAAGACCAGATCCACAGCCATATGAGCAGAATGGAGGAGGCTGTGTGGGGATGGCAGCAGCCTTAAAGTACGCAGAATGCAGGAGAGTCTAAAACAGCATGTCTGGGGCTTTGTGTGACCACTGTTAGCTTTCAGCTGTAAACAGACTCCCAAGGGAGAAGGGCAGTAGTCATTCTGAACACCCAGTGCCTGTGTTGGAAATAGCCTGAGAAGAGACGAATCCCTCCCTTCTGGGTACTCACAGGTTGGTTCTCATCTGGCCCCATTGTGAGGATGATATGGTCTTTAAATTGCAGCCTCACTGTGCTAGCCAGTGTTGGCAACTTTACACCTAGAAAACCCCAAAGAAAGAAAATCCCACCATCACAAACAGAAACTACCAGTTCCACCAAAAAATAAATAAATAAAAATAAAAAAACAAACTAGGTACAAATACTGCTCAACTGTAATAACTATCTCAATTGATGGGACTGTGTTGTCTTAACGGAGCACTCATTTTTTCCAATTTCTATCCTCTATTAGCTTCTTCACACACATGGATCCTGTAGGAACAACCAACTTCAAATTGCAACAGCCCTCCAATTCCTAGCTATGTGATCCTGGCACATCTAATGTGTGTAGGTCAAGCAAAATGTCCTATAAAAGTGATCCAATAAAATTCATGAAAAAAAAAAAACCACCAAAACTCGTAAGATGGATTTAGTAAAAAAGCATCCACTAAAAACCTATTCACAGATCAGAGACAACCTGCTATTCTTCTGTTTCACCTAATAACAGCATTTTACCTATCCTTGCCATAGATTTAACAAGATTATTACAGTGCTCAAGTTCTATGATTACGAATAGCAAAGCACCCTTCAGTATACATATTTCTTACCCAAAAGGACAGCATGTTTGTTCTCTATCGTGCTGCAATATATGCATGTCCGCAAGGGATTGCCAGGGTGTTGGATACTGAGTGTAATGCCTCTACTCCCAACTACACACACTAAGGGTGGTTTAGGTCCACACTAAAACTGAAATGCTGCTTTCTACCTGCTCAAACAGGACTCTAGTGAGGAAAGCCTCACAGCCCCAACCTAGAGGAAAACAGCAGGCCCACCTGGTGTTGACAGCTCTGTTCCCTCGCCTACATAGTAAGGGGGAAGTCTATGTGTAATGAAATCCTTCTTCATTTCCGATGAAAGCAGTTCTTTAGTGCCCTCCAGCCGTCCTGCAAGAGTCCTCAGAAAGCCACTTAACCTTCTTGTTGCAACAGCTGATGTTTCTACCTGCTAGGAATAGAATGAACACAAGCCTAGATGCCAGGAAAATCTGCTGTCAACTTCAGTCTCCAGGCAACATGCTGATCCCAATACCCACCACACACTTTGGATCCAAATCTATCGTTCTGGGGCAGGGGAGGGAAGGATACCACCAGAACCTCAGAAGCACTAATCTATTGCTTCTTAAAACCACTGCCCATCTTTTCCTTACGAAAAGGGAAAAGGATCGATTTTCACAATTATGCCTGAAAACAAAAAGTAATCCTTAGAAATATAGCACAATCTGAGCTCTCAGCCTTTTTAGAAATCATCACCATTTTAAGGTTTCAAACATCTTCAGTGACTGTTGCCCTACTCAGCACTAATCCCCCTATTTTCTCAAAACTAACCTAATAGAACTCCTGTTTCATAATGCAAGAAGACAGTAAAGCCAAGGAATACACTAACTTGAGGGTCTCTTCCCTAGTAACGTGATGGGTGCTGAGGCTGCGGTTCTACACAACTACTTATTTAGTCACTAACATTCTATAGTGCCTGCTCTAGTGCTCCGACAGAGCTGTTTGCAGTGACAGCTACCACTCTGAACAGGCGCCTCACAGGCAGCGCTCAGTGCTTCCTGCCAGGCCTACAGGGAGCACAGCAGACACATGAGGCTCATCTAGGGAGCAGGTCTCCAGTCCCCAGGAGGCAGCGCTTCCACGGGTCGGGCGGAAGCAGCACCCTTCATGTGTACTTGCCTCTGCTTCTTACCATGAGCAGCTGCCGGGGTATTCCGCTCCGTAACTCCACGTCTTCCTTTGCAGTATCAAACACGAGCCCTGAAATGGCGTCCAGAAGGAAATCTCCCCATGAACTAGAACATGCACCGAAGAGAGAGAATGGTAAATGCAGAATATATATATATATATATATATATATATATGCAATATTTACATATATGTAAGTATATATGTAAAAAGTAAAACCAAAAGCTCCGCACTGGGTTCCAACCTTCCTGCCCCGACATCCTGCGCATAGTTCACCTGACATTACTTAGTATGAAAATCTAAACCTTTCATCCACCCAGGTCCACACTTGAGAAGCTAAAGGTGGGAAGCTCCATTCTCTCATGATTTCTCTCATACCAGAAAATTCATCAGATGCTATCATAAAATAGAACATTGAGAAGGCCAAAGCTTTGATAAAACTGTCTAGGGAAGAGCTTTGCAGGCAATTTAAACGCTCATTATAGCATCCAGAAAAAAACATTTTATGCAATAAATCTAATAAGAATATATTTAAGGTAACAAAGATTTCTGTACTATGTAATTATCTGAACAGTCAGATCTTACATTTGCTTCTGTCATTTATTAAAGGGAAACTTCCATAGTTAAAAGTCTACCAACTTCAACTGTTCTAAAAAAAATTGATTTCCAGCAATAGTTGCACTGGGATAGAAGCCTTCGAGGAAGAAGGAACAAGGAACAGGCTGCAGTGCTTGAGTCCCTGTGCCTCCCCTGGGTGGTCAGAACCACTGTGTTCCTACCACACGCCAGTGTGAGCGTCCTCCTCTCTGGGGCTGCTCTCCTTAAACATTTCCTAGCTTGTTTAAATTTTTTCTGTGCCACTAGCAGATTTTAAATTGCTAGCCAAGTGCCAAATGGAAATTCACAGTATGACTTTTGCTTTGCACTCTGTAAGGAAGGCAAACATTCTTCTGCATCCATTCTGGGTAAGAGGCAAAGGAAGACAAAAGCCACTTGAGACACATTTTCCCTGAGGCATCCACTATCTGGTGGCCTCAGCGCCTTATGACTTTAAGACACTTCCGAGCTCTCATCTTTTACTGAACTTCAGTATGGCCCTCTCAGCAGCATAAAATACCCACTTCCTTTGAACAGTAGTAGACGGAAATCTTAGGTCAACAGCTCATGGCAGAATTTAATGGTAGTTAAACTGTGCTCTTTGCTCTTCCAACAGATCTCAGAAGATGACAGAATTCAGGAGTAACACATCTTGAAGGGCTCACTTAGGTAAAATGGCCAGCTAATGTACTGCCGACCTACACAGGAGATCCCAAATGTTCCAACAAGGCTGCCTTGAGAAGTGTTAGCAAGAGGCCCCGCATCTTTGCTCTACCCTAACAGCTGAAGGAGCTGAGGCTCAGCACAGAAGCGGTGGTTCTCATTCTACTCTAAAAGCACAGTTCCAGACACAAGATATAGGTCAGCGTCCACTCACAGGCCTGGGCAGCAGCTTCTGGAACTTAGGAAGTTCCTCCACAGCCCCACCAGATTAGAACAGGGCAGACTATGACACAGGAGCAGGCTTCCTAATCTTCACTCAGTGTTAGAGCAGATACTTAATGGCAGAAGCAGAGCTAATGGGCTCAGTGAAACAGAGAGGTGAAGTAACTGATGATGGGTGACGTGTGATGAGCCAACTTATGAGTGCACACAAGCTAAGGAAAAAGGGGAGCAAGACCCAAGTACTAGACAACCAGATGGGGAGAGTGCTGGGATCAAGAGAAGCAAAGACAAGGAACAAATAGCAGCCGAGCAGCATTAATGACAGGACCTCAGAAGACACACTCATGTTCACAGGACCAAACGAGGTGGCTGCTAAGGTCAAGAGTTGATGTGACCACAGAATAAACTTCTGGGTCCAGACTGTGTGACCTGGCCCCTTTATAGTTCTATGACTCATTCCCTCCAGAGCCCCTACTCTTTTTATAGCAGCCTCCAACTTTCTGTTTCTCATTTGTTAAGGAACCATACTGTCCACAGTAACAAAAAGCATTTTTCAAAGTGGAAGCCTTATTAGCTTTATTATGCTTGGTTTTCCAGCACTGGGTACTTCTACTTGGTCCTTCTATAGTGCTATCCACAGGCTAAACTCCAGGAAGTTCTTCCAGTAAATCCCTTACACAGAGGGGCAAATGTCTCACTAAAAAATCAGGGGAGGGAGAACAGGTATGCGTACTAACTTGTTTTTCAAGTTACAAAGGTAGGAGGGAGTTTGCTGTCCCTTGGGCTTGGCATGGCCTCTCCTACCCTCATCTGCTACCCACTTTTATTTATTCATCTTTGAGACTTCTCAGTTCTGGGGTCAAGTCATATCTGAAACCTTGATGACCCCCACCCCCTGGCTAAGTAAGCTCCAAGAGTCTCAATGTAACTCTACAACAGAATTGATCATACTGTTTGGCATGTCTGTCTCCTGCTTGTACCACCATTTCCAAAGTGTAAGCTCTCTCAAGGCCCCAGGAAAACACAAATGCTGACATTCCTGCAACTACAGTATTCAGGGCATGCCTGAGGAGTAAGCTGACCAACAAGTAGTGTTTTTAAATTGTGACCTGGATCAGCAAGGTTGCTACATTTTGTTAATAGCTCAGACAGAGGTGACATTCGGTTCTCGTAATGATATTTATTTATTTATTTATTTATTTATTTATTTTGTGGTACTGAGAACTGAACGCAGGACCTTGCATTTGCCAGGCAGGCACCTGTGCTGCTGCACCATCTTCCTGGCCTCTTGTCATGATTTTAACAAACTGTGATCTCTGATTTTTAGCTCCCAGTTTTCCTACTATAGTTTTATGGGCTGCAAAAACTAGAAATTAAGAACAATTTTCAAATGTTCCACAGTTTCTGTTTGGGGATGTTGAAAATGCTTTAAAATAGAGTAGTGATTACTGTACAACAGTGTGAATATAGTCACAACCAACCCAACAAACTACACTTCCAATGGCAATGTATTATGGGAGATACACATCCACAAAATACAAAAACAAAAACAAACAAAAAAAGCAGGCTCACCCTGACAGACTACAACACTGACATACCCACAACTGTGTTTCCTTACTTTCCAAACTATGGTGCCCTCTCCTTGGAACTCCCAGCATCCCACAGAGTGAGAGCTGTAACCTTCCCAGGAGGAAGCTGGGTAATCAAACACATGGCACAACAAAGGAAGCTGGATGTCAGCAAGATTCCTCGCTGAGAGGCAGCAGCCTTTCCCCTGGGTGAACGCGACTGCCTTGGGCGGAAGTCTGCAGGACACTAGGCAGGAAAGAAGACGTTTACTTGTTTTGGTAAGTGCTGATGGTCACATGAGTAGAGTGCGCCAGTCCCGCAGGAGTGTCTGCCTGATGAATGGTCCCTCTGGGAAAGTACAACAAATCACCCGGCTAAAGGCAGAAAAAAGGGAGGAAAGGTTATTAAAAGGCAGATCACTCAAATACTCCTTCAAATGATAAACACAGGCTTTCAGCTTCAGTCTTCCTTTCTAGAACCACCACCAAGAGACCATTGCTGTGCTGGCTTTCCTTAAGTCCAGTGAGTCTGCCTTCGCCGAGTCCAGGAGCCTGTCACTGCACCGCCACCCACACGGCAAGGTCCACACATCTTCAGGCCTGGAGCTACCATCTCCTGCTGATACCCCATACAACTGACACCACCTTACCCCGATGTGAGATGAGAAAAGGGGACATCCTCTTTCTGGGGAGCCTCCCGCCCCCGCTCCTGCCTCAGTTAAGAGGAACACATTTGTGATACAGATGCTGTAACTTATTGGCTAGTGACTACGGCGATATATTTATCTGCACTTAGTCTCAGTTGCTGTGTCATTAAACTGGGTAACAGCCATAAAGCCCACAGGGTTATTTCCAGGATTAAGAGTGTTATTTCCAAAACTCTTGGGCGAGGATGGCTGTATGTGTGCATTATGTATTTTATCTGCTCATCCCTCACTGCTTGATAACCTGAGCTCTTCTAGATAGACTATATATTTTGCCTATTCTGTACCCTGCAGCCAAACCTAAAGCACCTTCCAAACACAGGCTCAAAGAATGCTAAATGGATGAACTTATTGAACCTAAAAACTAGATCTAATAAAAGATATTAGTCTTTTTTTTTTTTGCCTTTAAAGACTATGTAGTTCAGACTGGCCTTAAATTCATTATGTTGCCCAGACCAAGTCCTTGGAGTACAGGCATGTACTGTGGGACACCAGATAGGAAGATGAAAGTCTCACTGGCCTCTTCTGTGAGCACCAAGGAAAAAGGCAGAGCCAAACATGCTGACAAGGTAAGGAAAGCAAAAAATGCCTAGACCCTATTGCTCTCCCACACAAGTAACGCAGATGGTGGGAGGCAGGTGAATCACATGCTATTCTAATTGCTTATACCCTATGTCTGAATGAATAAAGCCAAGGCACACCAGGCACTAGGGGCGTTTTGTCGAAGGGAGACAAGAACCCCTGGTCCTCAGCATTTTGACCCAATTGCGTCTTTGCACTTCATCTTAGACAGGATCAAGCTCGCAGGGTGGTTCCTCTGATTTGCTACCACACCTAGTCCAAAATTTATTGTGGGCAGCTAAACATCTTCAAGCAATTCCCTTTTTCTCTCTCCAAGTAACGGCCAGAAATATTCTCCAATTACTCCTGTGCTGATTTACTTTTTCCAGATCAAAACATCCTGAGTGGTGCCTAACAACAGAAGGAGCCTTGAGAACCGTGCATCTCCTCTTGACAAGCACATGAAGGAGTCTAGCTCCACACTGAGACCAGGAGCATGAAGGCAAGGCTCAGAATCATCACCAAGATGGGGTTTAAGGCTGTACCACAAGCAGGAGGCAGTAAACATTTTTATATATTCATAAGGGGGACTCCGCTTGCTGATTTTTTCTCAGAATGACCCCAAGATGACAGTACTTCAAGTAAATAAGTCTTACTGATAATTGTAACGTTTACTGAGGATCTATGCCAGTCCAAGTGAGTCCTTCACATGCATAACCATTATTCCCACTACTGGAAGTCAAACAAGTTTCCTAAGAAAGTTTAATGAGGCTATTCCTATCCCTCTGTGGTGTTTTCCTCAATAACCTTTCTCCTGAGGATTAGCTATGTTCCTATTTCATCAAACTTCAAAGACAGATCTTCTTAGCAACAAGGTAGTACATAATCAAGCCATCTGGCTCTCTGGAGAAGGAATCCTTGAGAACTTTCATGATTACTGTTCTTCTAACAACTGCATGCACAGGAAAGGGTTTTCAAAAGACAAGTCTACTGCATAAGAGACAAATAGGTCATAATGAATTTATGTAGCAAAAAACTAGGGATTCTTGGCTGGATTGTGCCTATGCTCACTACTGTCTTAGATATGGAGAAACTGCACAAGGCTAGATCCTCCATTTTTACTCTGGAGAAGCTGGTACTGCACTGAATTCATTTCTGCTAAACTAGATTATGCACAGACAGATTATTTGGAATTTAATACTGCTTTGTTCATTTCATCAAGTACAAACCACAATACTCCAAAGCCTCCTGTGTTGGCAGCCTGAATGAAAGCCACCATGCACTGAATCCCCGGGATATATGCCCATAGGACCACTATACAAACTCTGAACTTCAAGGCTCAGTTTATCTTAGCATCAGTGGCAAACAGCCCGGGAGGAGACCACTTGGTCATCCTGTACCTTCAATGTGAACTCAAGCATCGGCACACCAAGCCGGGTCTCAGATTTCACACTGTACTCGCGTGCCAGGGCCACTGTGGGAGCGTAGAGCCGCCAGTGCTTCTCTCCTTCCAGTTGCAGGATGAAGACCTAGAGAGCAAGCAACCTAGGTGTCGAGAGAGCCTCCGGCCAAGCCACAGGCCAAGCCACAGGCCAAGTGCTTGCAGGTCGTCAGCACTCCAAGGGCTGAGACCAAGCACACGTTCATGATGAGAAATGCACACAACTAAAAGTTGCCATTACTGGGTTTTACTTTTAAAAACATAATCATGAATCCTGATAGTGGATATTCATACTTTTCACTCTGTTAGAGTGTAACCAAGTTCTTTATATCCTACTATCTCATTCCTTTAAATCTACCAGATAGCTGAAAGCCTATAATCTCTGTTGGGAAAGCCAAGCGTCAGCTATTGCTGAATGTCTAAAATCCCCAAAATTGAAAAGGCACTGACAGATAGATAAACATGAAAATTTTAAAATCTTTTTTTTAGCCAAAGATGTTTTAATGCTCCATTAAGAATATGCTTTTTAACAACAGTTTTGGAAACTGTACAGAGATCAAGTTGCTCTCAGGGGAAAAATAAAGGAGGACTTTCTATTACTGTGTTCACATGTTGTACTGTATTATCACAGAAATACAACTATGAAATACCCAAGCCAAAGAGTTAACGTTTTTTAGAAGCTATGTGAGTGAAACCAGCACTTTCAAGGTGCCAATACGTAAACTATGACCCTCATTCATGCAGCCCCAAGATTTTCATAAATGAAAAAATACATGTAGTTTTGGTAGCTACTAAAAAAGAATGAAATAAAAACAGATGTAAAGATTTGTCATCTCACCTTATTTTACTTTGTGAAATTAAAGAAGAAGTCCATTTTCTATAGCCACATTTCATTAAATACCTGCCTCAAAGGTCTGGCTCTTTCTATGATTAAGGTTGGTAATCACCCTTTCCCCTGATAAGAAGCAGGAAACCGGTTTGCAGAAATCTGTTTTGGCCCTCCATTTGGATGAGGTTAAGTTCTCTGAGAGTACACAGAAAGAGCAGCTACAGACCCGGCCTAAGGGCCCTATGTACTGATATGACTCAGGCTCGCGGTAACTCTTCTTGCACTGCCTGGGCAATGTTTGCTTTCTTACCTCAACATCGTCATAATGGGGAGGTAGGCCCTGAGATCCTGCCGGGGTTATGTATACATTTGAGCCAACCAAGGAGCCAAAGTAACACTCTAGCTTCTCCTGGATCTTCCAAAGCTCATCCTGCAGGGAGTGGGAGAGGAAAAATAGATTAGAAATTAAGAGAAAGCATACAGTATTTGTTCACTTACAAATCTTTATTGTACAACTATTATAGGCCAGGTAAGTAATGAAAAGTCGCTCAAGAATCTTCCATTCTAGTGCAAACACCATTAAAAAGGTGAGCAAATGAATGAGAACTGGGCAAAGCATACAAAGAATTTTAGGCAGGAAGATAATATAAGCAAATTTACATTTTCAAAAGTTCACTGGCTCTTGGGTGGAGAAGGGATGTAGAAATGCAAGAAAGACTATTTTGGAAGCTACTGAGGTAGCAACCCAGGTGAGAAAGGAACAGGTAGTAAAGGACAAGTGTAACAGAGAAAAACAGAGAAGGCCTACTCTGGGAGCAGCCTGACAGGACATGCTGCAGACAGAGGGACTGGGAAGGGGAAGTCAAAAATGAAAGACTGGATTGTTGACCTGGCAGTTGGCCCATGAGCACTCACTTCCACAAAGAAGAAGGACTACTTAAATCTTTTCTTTTCTAGCAAGAAATAACTGAAAAAAAAAAAAAAGAAAGAAAGAAAGAAATAACTTAAAGTGTTTTACACCAGAGATGTTACATTTGGAAGGCTAAGACACTCTCCTTCCCTCAGTGTAGAGATGACTGAAAGTCTGAAGTTCTCACAAGGAAGGAATGACTTGGATTTGTATTTGGGAATTGCTTAACAATGCCGTAAAGTAGATATCTAAGTCAATGGGACAGAAATGATGACCTGGGAAAAAGACATAGGCTCAAGAACAAGAATAGGGCCCAAGACTCTTCCTCCTCTCTATTCACGCATCATCAGTTCCTCAGGCATAAGGCAGATGGAAGGGCCTGCGAGGAGTCAAATATTCCTGTGGAAAAATCTGATTTTCTTAGCACAGATAAGAAAAGGGTGAGGAAGGCAGCAATAAAGTCACATACATCCTGGCATTTCCTATATGCCAGGTACTGTTTCTAAGTGCCTTACAAATATTAATTCTAGCACCCACACAATAACCTGCTTCACAGATGGCACTATCATTGTCTCTGGTTTGCAAATTAAGAAATCAAGGCACCAAAACACAAAGTTATTAAATGATGAGGCAAAGAGTCAAGTCTAGGTAGCCTGGCTCCAAAAGTCCATGCCTCTAATATAAGTTAAGAAAAGTCATTTATATTGAAGAGGTCAAAGTTCTATATACAGTGCCTGACACACAGAAGAAATTACAATATGGTAAAATATTTGCTAAGTAAACCAATGACCAAAGTTTACGAGGGCCAATCCAAAGTTTACGGTGGGGCTGGCATGGCAGGCCTTGGGATCGAATCCCTTGACTGTAATTATATTTATGTGGCACTTGGAACCACTGGAAAGCCAGGACTTTTCTGACCTTCCTTCTCTACCCCTGAGAGGTCTGGGATGTACAGGGGACTTTATGGTACCCAACTCAAGCACAAGTCAAGACCTATAACTGATGAAATGATGTTTCTTCTCAAAGCCTGCCAAAAATGTCATCAGCTGTAATGTTTGTTCATTTCTCTTGGATCTTTGGCTTCTGACTTTGCCAACTGTGGCCTACTTAGAAAGATGGAGGGCCAAACCTCTTTGGTCCAAGTTGTAGTTACATGCTAAGTTACTTTGGTTTTTCTTTATTTTATTTTAAAGAAAAAAAAATAAAAACAATGGTACAAAATCTCAAAACAAGATTTTAGGAGAGTAACAGTTGTTAGTACATTGTGTATTGTTACTGCCAAAGTAGTTTCTCATATTAGAAGATATAGGCAAGAAATAATAAGCAAATAACATAGGTACAAACCTCTTTTTTTTTTTAAA